ACAAATATTTCATTTTTAATTATTTATTATTTAAATTTAAAAATTATTTTATAATTAGAGTAGATATATTAATTTATTAATAAGCAATCGAATCAGAGTCCATTATGAATTGATATCTCTTAACTAGTTACGGTTCAATTTTGACATAGGGGTGTTTATAGGACCGGACAAGACGGGGATAGGCCCGTCCCGTCCCGTCCCGTCCCTATGTTAAGAGATAATAGGGACGGGACAGGACGGGACGGGACTTTTGTCTTGTGTCCCGTCCCGTCCCTCCCTTTCTTTCTTTTTTTTCCCCCTTTGGTTTTGCACCTTTTTATTAGGCTTGACACGGTTAGTTCTTGTTTTTTTTTGGCCTTGAAATAATTTGCTTTGAGCCAACTGCAATTAGAGAGCAAAGCAGCGAAGGAGAGTTTCTGCACTTTTGACGCCACCTGGGGTAAAGAGACCGGATCGCCACTTTGCGGGGAAGGAGGGACACAGCGACTTTAGTCCTCAGTCACAGAGCTGTCTAAAAATGGCAGACCATACGGCGTCTCGGCAGCGGGGAGAGTCATGAGCTGGCGACCAAGGAGTCGAACAATGACGAGCTATTCTGGAGGCTGGAGAACGTGAGGCCGAGATATGGACGGGAAAATTTAGGAATGGTCAAATGGTATTAGAAAAATAATTTCGTGGCCAATCAACCTGATTCTGGAATTTAGACGCAAAGAAAATGCTAAAAGTAAGCATCTGCCCATCCTTGAATTCCGGCGACACATTCAGAATCATAGTGACGAGCTCACGGGGTTAGAGTTGGCGATTGTGGGGAGACAGACAAGGTGAGAATCAGCGACGCAATCAAATACTTCAGAGAAGAAGCGAACACGCAACGTGGGGATATTTATAAATGGCAAGATCATTACACGGTGATGGAGAACATAGTAGAGTGAAGGCAAGAAAGTCATGGTCGGTGACGCGACGGCGGGGAGACTAACAATCACATAGCGAAGGTGAGAAGGAGTCCGTAACACCTCATATAATTATATCCATATATCCAATAAAATACTTTATTTAAAAATCCATACGTTACTAATACTCTAAACAAGTTTTGTAACATTATAACAAAATAAACTATTAAAGTTTTATAGTCATGGCAATTAAAAATATAACATAGCATGTGCTCGAGGAGCACAGAAGCTTTCAAGGCCCACTCTATTAGTGCCTTCCCTTAATTTTTACTAGATCCTTCGCCTGAAAAATGTTAAGATAGGAGATGAGATCAAATATCTCAGTAACTACTGAAATTCTAACCTATACAAGCAAACCATATATGATAAACAAAAATCCGTTTATGTGTGTGCATGAAAATCATGGATTTGATGCATTCAACTCAGTTTCATTTTTAATTCAACAATACCAATATCTTTTTTCTAATATATCCAAAAATAATGTAATACACTGCCTCTCTTATATCACTATCCACCCTTATACCGCTGACTGGAGCCATAGGCTAACACATAGTGTGATAGGAACTAATCCATTTTCTTAAATTACTCCAAACTCACCGATACTATAGATATATCCAACCAAAGATATAGAACTCAAGCTCGGACAATGGCTCCCCTCCTTTGCAAATAAAATAAGGAGGTGTCACATGTCTCACAGCTCCATTGAATTCCCGGCTAAAAGAAAACATAGAAGAAGGGGCCCTGACAAGTGCCATCCACTATGCGCTGAGTGATGGCATACCACGTGGTAATTTTATATCTATGCAATATCCTTCTATCCTTAGCCCGACAATGCATGCCAGATGCCAATAATGTTACATCATAAATACGTCCTCAAATATATTAAAAATAAGATAGTAATAAAACTTATATACCATTTAATAGCAACTCATGACAATTCCATAGCCATCAATATATTTAAATATTGATCATAATTAATAGCAATAAATATTAACAAAATTAAATAACATATCAAAACATTTATTTGAAAAATCATAATACTATATTTCTGTATGATATAAAAATTAGTAAATCTACAATATAATCATACACAATTCATATGTACAAAAAAGAATTTTTAGAGTTACCTGATACTTTTTAGCTTACAAATAGTCACATAATGATTACTTCAAAATTCTCAAGAGTCTACAAAATTACATATAAATATTTTTTAATATAAATTCAGAACTACTCCAAAACTACTCTAAAATTTTAAAACTACCCTCTAAGCTAAAATTACATAAATATTTTAGCTCTCCTCAACTTTGCTCTTTATAATAGATATAATATTATCTTGACAATAAGATTTTCATATAAAACTATTTAAATTTAATAACTTAATTATATATCTTTATTACCCAATATATAAATATTTTATATTAAAATTCTCAATTATTTATTATAATCTCATTTAAAATTTTTTTCAAACCAAACAACTTCTTTAAATTATAAACAAACTGTAACTTTATCTGATTTTACAAAATTCTCAATTTACAATTTTTGAAGCCTTCAAAAATTATTTTAAAAATATATCTTTAACTTATTCAACATTTAAACCAATTAAAACCTCAATAATATATTAAATAACTTGAATAAATTATTTAAGTTAAATTTAATCGGTAAAAGTATTCTATATCTTTGAATAACAAGTTTTTTAATTGAAATCTTAATTTAAAATTCTCAAAACAGTCATTTAACAAATATAAACTAGTTAAAATTTCTTAATAATATATCTTTAAATTTCTATGGTCATATATTGTCAAAACTCCACATTTACTCTATATCCAAACAATAAGTTTTTGTCTAAACATTATAATAATACTAATAATATGAAGCTATAAATATATAGAAAACATTCATTAAAAAAATTTGATAAAAAAAAATAGTTTTGTATACTTAAATGATCTTCAAAATTTGTCATATACTTTACAACTCAGCTCACTCGCTCTCTCTTCCTTTCTGCCTCTTGCCCGCTCTTTCTCTACTCCCCACACACAATGAAGGGAAGACAAATGTTGCAGGATTTAATACCGTCGCATTTAATTCTCTTCCTCAGTTTTCTTTTGCCTATACCTCATTCTATTTCTCCTGTAGCCGTCCCTCACCCCTTCCTTTTCCTTTCCATTAATTACCCCTCCCCCTTTCCACTCTCCGTGAAAAAAGGTGGAGGTGGGTTTTTTTCAAATAAAGTAATAATAATAAAATATTATTTTAATTAATTTAATAATGAAATTTTTTTCTTTAAAAATTTTTTTAAGCTTTTTTTTTGTATGTTACAGAATCCGTACAGTGAGAACTGGAGGCGACCGGAGGAGGCCGAGAATGAGATGGAATCAGGAGTAAATGGCCATATGTTTTTCTAATATTTTAACATTTGCAAATTTTTTTTAAATTATATATCCCAGGACCGGATAATTCCGTCCCGCATCCCATCCTGTCCTAATTAGGATTTTGTCCCGTCTCGAAATTGTCCCAACCCAAAATTTTTTTTGTCCCATTTCAAAGTGATCAGGATTGGGATGGACCTACCGCAACGGAACAATTTGAACACCTCTATTTTCACAACTCAGCCTCGTTGGAGCCAAACTCTTTCCCCTACCCCTCATTACTATTGTATCAAATATTAATGGTTCAGATTTAATGTTGTAAAAAAATATTATTATTATTAAGGAAAAAATATTATAATTTTATTTAAAAAAGATATAAATAAATCTGAATTGTTAAAATATGATATGAATTCAAATCAAATATTAAAAGTTTGAATTTATTTACTTATTTTTTAAAAATAAAATTGTAATTTTTTTGATAAAAAATAATAATACTTTTTTCAAACATTAAATTTGGACAACTGAAATCTCATCAAATGGTGATAAAGAGGAACAGAGGAGGGAAAAGAGAGCCGAGACCAAGCCCCGAAGCCGAAAGGCCTCTTTTCGGCAAAACAAAATTCCCCTCGCGCGGCACGTGATTGATCTGCATCTCGCGTTCAATTTTAAAACCATATACGCTTCATATTTCATTATTTTCTGTTTTATGTATCAACTAGTCTCTCCTATTTTTTGGTTAAAAAAAATTCTCCCCTATTTTTATTTGAAATCAGAACAACCTGTCTCAAAATTCAAAGTTTAATGAAATTGAACATGATTTAAATCAGTAATAGATAGATTAATTAGATAGATCACAGTATCACACGATGCATGATCACACAGAATTTAAAAAATAAGTCATATTAGTTTTTAAATATATATTTATATATTTACAAGATTTGGTGGGAACTTGACTTAGCTTTGATATCCTGATATCCCAATGAACTAGTATTTCTATATTTCTAAGAGCTGCATGTTGTTTTGTTCTTTAATTTTATGCATTTCATTTCATATATGGTAAGTCGTAATTTTAATTTAATTGAAAAAATACATAGACAATTACAAAACATTTTGAGCCAAAAGGACAAAACATGTACAAATATATATTTAATCACTTAGAAAAATGCGTCTTCTCCTTTTTAGCCGTCTAGGTGATTAACTCATATATCGATGATATATAATTTTTTTAAAATTAAAATACAACTTGTATTTTGAATAAGTTTGAATGGTAATATCACAAGCAACAGTGTTTATAAATAGGGACATAATAAGACTACCTATAGAGTAGTATAAGATTTTTGAACCGTTCAAATTACAATTTTATAATTATGATGGGAAGTAGTAAGAAATGGAGGAGGAAAACGGATATACCGCTTTCCTATATTTCCATGTTGTTTTGTCTTTTTATGCATTTCATTTCATACATTGTAAGTCATAGTTTTAATTTATTGTTATCTTCTCTTTTTTAGCCATCTAATTGATTAATTCATATAATGATGATATAGAAAATTTTTATTAAAATATAACTTGTACGAGTATCTTGAATAAGTTTTGGTCAAAAAAAAAAAAAAGATCTTGCATAAGTTTGAATGGTAGTATCATGAGCAACAACGTTTATAAATAGGGACACGATAAGACTGGCCACGGAATAGAATTGTGATTTTTTTTTAATAAATATATCTCTCAAGAGAGTGATGGAGGATCGTGAAACTAACAGTCAGCCTCTCCTCGCCGCCACACCCTCACCGGAGGGACCTCATCATCAAATCTCCGCCGCCGCTGCAATTTTCAGCGCCGAATCGTCTGACATCCCTCTCATCACCACTCCCAAAGATTTCTTTACTCAATTCTTCATCGAGTCCAAGAAGCTCTGGTACCTCGCCGGTCCTGCCATTTTCACCTCCATTTCTCAATACTCCCTCGGTGCCATCACTCAGCTCCTCGCCGGTCATGTCGGCACCCTCCAACTCGCCGCCGTCTCCGTCGAAAACTCCGTCATCGCCGGCTTCTGCTTCGGCGTCATGGTAAAATCTAGAAACTGCTGTGTTTAACTTTAAGGTGATCAGAGAATCAACTGATTCTGATTTTGGATTTGAATACCAAACAGCTCGGGATGGGGAGCGCGCTGGAGACGCTGTGCGGGCAAGCTTTCGGGGCGGGTCAGCTTGATATGTTAGGGATTTACATGCAGAGGTCATGGGTGATTCTGAACACGACGGCTCTGTTTCTGTGTCTATTGTACATCTTCGCGAGGCAAATCCTGAGAGCGATAGGGCAGAAGGCGGCGATATCGGAGGCGGCGGGCGTGTTCGCGGTGTGGATGATCCCGCAGCTGTTCGCTTACGCGATGAACTTTCCAATCCAGAAGTTCTTGCAGGCGCAGAGCAGGATCATGGTGATGGCGTGGATATCGGCGGCGGCGCTGGTGGTTCACACGGTGATGAGCTGGGCGCTGATGCTGAAGGTGAAATGGGGACTCGTCGGAGCAGCGATCGTCCTGAACGCGTCGTGGTGGTTCATCGTGCTGGGTCAACTGGCGTATATTTTTAGCGGAACGTGTGGGAGAGCTTGGAGTGGCTTTTCCATCAAAGCCTTTCAGAATCTGTGGGGTTTCGTTCGGCTTTCTCTGGCCTCCGCTGTCATGCTCTGGTACGTATCATCATCTTCTTCGCACGTTTCCTTGCTTCCTTTCAGGCTAGTCTGGCATTAAGTTCCGACAAGACCCCGTTTTCAGCGCAGGGAATGCTTTTTTAAAGAAAGAATTATAATTAGGAAGACACAAATTCATATAACTCAAACCAAATTTGACAATTAAATAACACAAATTTGCGGATAAAATTAAAAATAAAGAATTTAGTTACGATTCTCCTATTTTTAATTACTCTCTGTCCATTTTGTCATAGTGTAAATTGGGAAAGTAATTAATTAATTAAAATTTAAATTTCTTTAAAATTGTCAAGAAAATTAAATGATTCATTATTGGGAAGCGTGACTAGTAATAACTGACGCTGAGGCAACCAATGACAGTAACTGCACGTGCTAAAAAAATGTAGCAATATTATATACACACACCCTACTTCTATTCTATTAAGATCTTATTTGGTTTTATTTTAGTTTAAAATATAAGATTCTAATACATTTGTATGTAATATTTATACATTTTTTTAAGATAATTTTTTTAACAATGATAGTTCTAGTTAATACACTTGATTAGTAAAGATATTTTAAAAAAAACAACACATATTTATAGTAAATAACTAACTTAACTTTTTTTTTAATTTTCTCACATTAGTTAATTAGCTTTTATAATTAAGACTGTAGGTAGTATATATATCAAAAAATGACCATTAATGTTATTTTGAACTTTAAAAAAATAAATAAAGTAATTTCTTCTTCAAAGTCGATGGAAGAAAAGTAAAAAAGCGGTATAATTGCGAACTCATTGGCTTTGGTAGAAAACGCATGTTTTGACCAATGTACGCAACTTTTTTTTTTTTTTGGGCCAATGACCAATGTACGTAACTGAAAGCAATTTTGTCCATCTCTGAAGTTGCAAAAATGAGTAGCATCATATTCATAACTTAAACTATTTAAAATTTTTAACTAATACCTTATGAATAAAAGTTTTAATTTTTAAAAAATTTACAATCAAGAGATTACATTCATTTTGAATTATGTACCTATTAAAAAATATTTTATAAAAAATATTAAATATTAAATCTTGATCATTAATATTAAATTTGAATAGTTGATATTTGATGAGTATCATAATACTTATCACTGTAATGAGTATTGATAAATGCTTCCCCAAAAATATGTCTTCAATTGAAATTTAAACGAGACGAATGATTCATAACAATGAAAAACATGATCTCAGCAAACATTAAAAAAATTAATTGATGGTAGGGTTTTCTAAGAGGAAATATAAGGTTTTCATATTAGTATTAGAAAACAAGAGAACTGGAGAAAATCCTCTTTTCGTTTTTCTCCAATTGAAAAGGTCCTCCCTCCTTCAAGATATAAAATAAACTTTATTGGAATGGCTTGTTTTTTTTTTATAAGATAGTATTCTCTTTTATCTAATCATTTTATGAGTTTTTTTTTAATTTTACCCCACATTTATTTTCTTTATTTTTTAATTTATTTATTATATCTTTTACTTGTTCTTTTTATTAATAAGAGTATATTTAAAAAATATATATGTCTTACATATTTATTATTTTAAACTAATTTTAACTAATTTTTTTATAAATATAAATAAATAAAATTTATTTTATATTTTGAACTAAAAGGAATAAGTAAATAGGAAAAGAAAAAGGGAAAAAAATTAAAAGAGTAAGTACTGACAACTTAAAATTAAATTATAAGTGAAATTGAGTGGCTGCTTTAAAAAAAAAAGTGAAATTGAGTGCACGGCTTTTCACTTATAATAAAGGACATTTCATGATTACTTGTCCATAAGGCCAGCCCTTTTCCTCGACTTTGACACAGTTTTTTTATTTCCTATTTTTATTTTGTTTTATTTCAATTTAATGGTTAAAATATTCATGCATAAAATATACAATAACAATGTCAAATATTATCCCACTCAGTCTCACAGTATTGACAGTGATAGTATATATTATCTTTAATTTTTTTTATTCCTCTGTAAATGTTGGGTGTCGGATAATTTTCCAAATTTTCAAACAATTAAGATACTTAAAACATCACCTAAAATAACAAAATTCACACAAGCGATGTAATTAAATAATTAATCATCAGGAGGGTCAGTATTAAATTTAAAGAAGACATTACGATTTTTAAAAGAGACATACAGAGCAAATAATTAAGATCCCCCGAGTGCACCAACAGGCGCTGCATCATGTGAATTGCATCTCGATGAACAGAAGGAATTTAATTTGATGTGGGTGAAAGTAGTAGATCAAAGATCGATCTAGCTAGCATTTTTTAGGAGGTTTCATTGTGTTGATTAATAGCCAATATTACTTCCTGTATTTAATACACGAGTTAGTTTAACTTTTAATTTGTTCTTAAATATAGGAACCAAATTTACTTTATTTTTTCATATTTATTTATTTTTAAAATAGTCTTTGTAGTAGTTGCATATGTTAAATATTCAATCAAATGATAGTTTTAACTAATACAATATACATGATTAACAATAATATTTTAGGAAAGACAACACATAATTATTACAAATAACTGATTTAACAAAAATTTTTAATCTACTCAAATTAGTCAACTGGCTCTTGTATTAAGGAGTGGATGTAGTAAGATCTAATTAATACTACCTCCAGCTTTTAATATAAGAGTTAGTTAAGTTAGTTATTTGTAATAAATATATGTTATCCTTTCTAAAATATCCTTATTAATCAAGTGTATTAGTTAGAACTATCATTATTACAATGACTGTCTTGGAAAAATATGGATAAATATGAGAGATCAAGTGGATTTAAGTTTTATATTTAGGATCAAAATAAAAATCAAACAAGCTCTTATACTACCTCCGGTATTTAATACTCCTCCGGTCCTTATTATAAGACCCAATTTGACTTTTTATTTGGTCCTAATTATAAGACCCAATCCATTTTCTCTCTTATATTTATGCATTTTTTTCCAAGATAATCCTTCTAATAATGATAGTTTTAGCCAATATACTTAATTAGCAAGGATATTTTAGGAATAACAACACTTATTTATTATAAATAACCAACTTAACTTACTTCCTTAATCTCCTCAAATAAGTCAATTGGGTCTTATAATTAGGACCGGAGGAGTATATGATTTCGTTTAAATTTTATTTTGGTCTTAAATATAAGATCTCAATCTATTTTGTTTCTCATATTTTTCAAGATAATCCTTCTAATAATAATAGTTCTAACTAATAAATTGATTAACAAGAATATTTTAAGAAAGACAATACATATTTATTACAAATAACTAATTTAATTTATTTTTTTAATCTATTCAAATAAGTCAACTAAATCTTATACTACCTCCGGTCCTAAATATAAGATCCCGTTTGACTTTTTATTTGGTCCTAATTATAAGACCCCAATCCATTTTTTCTCTTATATTTATGCATTTTTTTCCAAGATAGTCCTTTTAATAATGATAGTTCTAGCCAATACACTTAATTAGCAAGTATATTTTAGGAATGACAACACTTATTTATTACAAATAACTAATTTAATTTACTTCCTTAATCTCCTCAAATAAATCAATTGGGTTTTATAATTAGGACTGGAGGTAGTATTTAGAATGAGAGGTAATATTAAGGATTGGATGTAGTATTATTATTAAGGTCGATTAGTTAAGATTCTTACATTTTTCTTCCCCCTCAAATTGCTGGTAAAGCTTGGAGGTGTGGTATTTTATGGCTCTGATCTTGTTTGCTGGATATCTCAAGAACGCTGAAGTCTCCGTGGACGCCTTATCTATTTGGTAAGTACTCTTGTTTCTGACTGATCTGAACCTTCTTCTTCTTATTATTATTAGTACTATTTTGTTTGATAGCGAAACCCCGTGGGACACGGAGGTTAGCAAACTTCTCGCCGGTCCAAAAAAAAAAAAAAGAAGCAAACTTCTCTCTTCAAAATGACATAAGAGGGGGAAAAAAATTGAAGGCCAGGAAAGAAAGCGAAAAGGACGGAAGGAGAAAAATAAAATGGTGAACAATTAATTCGCAATATATACATTAATATTAGCATGCATTAATATAATATTTTTTGTAAAAAATACTTCTTCTAATCCTAAATACTACTTTCGATCCTTAATATAAAAGCTAGTTAGATATTTAATTTAATTCTAAATATAAGTCTTGAATCTATTTTGTTTCTAATATTTATTTATTTTTTCTCCAAGATATTCCTATAGTGGTTATACGTGTTAAGGAGTTATATAGTTTTAATACACATGATTGGTATGAATACTTTAGAAAAAACAATATAAGTTTATTACAAATAACTATGTTAACTAATTTTTTTTTAAATATTTATAAATTAGTTATTTAACTAGAAGTATAAGTATATTATCTTTATGAGCACTTTATTTTGTTCCTTTATGGAAGGAAGAGTAGTTATTAATCACAAATAATTGCTCTAAGCAATTTTATTGATTTTGAGAAATTAATTAAAAGAGTCATGCATTTAAAATAAAAGAAATTAAAGTAGGATATGCATTGCTAATTGATCTCACCTGCGAGATCAGAGCCGGGGATATACAATCGGTTCTTGTCTGATCTGGTTGTTGCATCCCCTTCGTTTCTTTTTGTGATCATACAAAATAAAATAAAAATAAAAGGCAATTCCTCATTGCTCAGTGCTCACCCCACGATAGGAGGGACCGTTTTCAAATTAATCTCTTATCTCTTGGTGTACTCTCATTAGTCCAAAAAAATAAATTTATCATGAAATTTAAGTAGTAATTTTTAATAGGAGAATACTTAGATCAAGCTTTTTACATTTATTATATTAAGTTTTCCAACCACACATAGTTATATATATTTTTTTCAAAATATTGACATTTAGTATTATTTGATTATAAACTCACATAAAAAAAATATAAAACACATGATCATCAAAAATTAAATATTCTATAGTTATTTGATTAACTTTCACGAGGAGAAGGGAATAAATTAGATATATCTGTGTGTCAACACCGGGGCGATGTGAGATGTCTGATATTGGTATATGGAACGGCCACACAGCTTCTCTATCATTTGTTTGGAGTTTTCCCCTTTTGTTTTGTCCCATTTGGAATATGGCGAAAATGTGCCTTTCACATAGGAAAAAAAATCAAAATATATGACTTTTCTTTCAGTACCAAACAAAAATCCTCACCTTTGCCTTTAGTCAATGCCTCACATAATCACTTGCAAACGGGTCATGATTAAAATCTTGTTAACCAGCTAGCCGTCTATAATGGAACCCCTAGCTACCCTTTATTATTTTTATGTTTTCTGAAATTACTATCATGGACTTTCACGTATTAGAGGAGAAAATATTTAGGAAATATAACAAAAAAGACCACCAAAATAAAAAAATTGCACACAAAGACCAGTTTGTAAAAATTATTGTCAAAACCTATACTATCGTTATCAAAACCCATACTAATATTGTTATGGGTCCTAATTTATATTTTTTTTTATTTTAGTGGTTTTTTTTAACCATTTTTCCAAAATATTTAATTAATCAATTCTATGTACACGTCTATCTGTTGATTCGGTGGAGATCCGCTGAATTTAATTATCATAAATGCTAAACTTGTTCACTTTAATTTCTTCAACCACACATCAGCATGGGCGTCACTTTTCTGTCATTAATATTGAATTCAATTTCTGCAGCATGAACATATTGGGTTGGACTGTGATGGTCAGCTTCGGAATGAACGCAGCCGTAAGGTTAGATATTCAATTCACCTATACAAATATATATGAATAAAATATTTTTCATATATTCCTCCGTTCTTAAATATAAGAATATCCTTTTTGTAATATAATTTACACTACAAAAAGAGTTTTATATTTAGAACCGGAGGAGCATATATATGTGTGTGTGGATTAATTTCAGAACTCGATAGTAAATATAAACTCCAACTTAGTTGAAAATAATGCATCCGTAGATATGGGATCTGCTTAGTAGAAAAAATAATTTATTTTCAATTTAATTTTAAAAAATTAGATTAGATAATGTGATTTATATTTAGATTAACTTTATAAAAATTAGTTTGTAAAGTAAAAAAATTATTTAGATTATGATTGAATAGGTAAGTTTAGTTTGTAAAATAACTAAATGAATATGATTTTTATTAAATAATAAAAATGATTAAAAATATGAATTTACAAAATATAATAATTTTAAATTATTATAATAAGAAGAAATTATATTTAATGAATAAAATATATTTAAATTAGAAATCATAATAATGTAAAATTTTTTAAACCAAATAATATTCTATCATTAATTGGATAATATACTATGCATGATTTATGTAAATATAAAATAAAAAAAATAAAGTAGTAAAATGAATTTTATTAGATAATATTATCTCTAGTCTTTAATATAAGAACTAGTTAAAAATTCAATTTGGTAATAAATATAATATTTTATTTTATTTTGTCTTCAATATTTATCCATTTTGTTCCTAAGTAATCCTTATGCTATAATGATGACACATGTTAATGAATTTTCATTAAAAGGTAGCTTTCAATACACATGATTTATAGGAGTATTTTATGAAAAATAACATCCATTTATTACATATAATTAATTTAATTAATTTTTTAATATTTACAAATTAGTTATATTTTGTACTAGGAAGAATATAAGTCTAAATTTAAATATAAATAAGATAGTATAATGTGATTTAAAATAAATTCTTTTAAAGGAGTCAAGGTTTTGAAAGTCGGACTGGACTGGATCGGATGGTCGGATCGGTTCAGCCGTCAGCTGTTCTACATAGCAGTTTGGTTTGTGCATTTGGACTGTTTAAAGGTTTGATCTGGATTGAGCCACTCATAACTGGTAGTTACGCCGGAACCCAGGACAGGTTTATGAGAACTGAACGGCTCAAAAATTTTTTTTTATTAACCATGTTATTTTCATGTTTAAAACCCCGAGTAAAGAAGAAGAAGATGGAAGAGGAACTAAGAAGAATGGAGAAGCACAAGATTGGCACCGATTTGGAGACTTTTGTTCTCCATGGTCAAACTCATCGCGTCGCACTGAAGAGTTTCTCCTCCCTATTGTTCTGATTTGATCTCCAACAGTACAGAGAAACGTAGGAGGAGACGTGCAAAAAGCCGATGATGAAACAACATGATTAAAAAACAATAAAACATAGAAAAAGTAACATGAGATCAATGGTCAAAACTAATCATATTCAAATATCAACGGTTCATATTGCCTTTTGTTTCACTTTTCCTCATAGATTTGACTTTTATCCTACTTCCGATGAGAGTACCATTAAAATCCAATAGATATCAGGGGTAGTTTGTTTTGACCCATGGAATCATGGACATTAGTTGGAGATTCGGGTAATTCTGTTCTAGTTATCCTGATTCAAGTTATATATTTTATTATATTATTTTTATTTTTAAAAAATATTTTTAAGTCATCAAAATGTATATGTATAATTTCTATGATGAATGTATTAAATTCTTTTAATTCTTCTTTCTAATTATTATTCATGTATTTATTGTATTTATATCATTTATATATAGTATTATTTTTAATTTAATTATTATATTACCGGTCTAACTGAACTGTTTGACCGATCTAACCGTTTGAATAATGACCCACTGATTTTTTCTATTTAATGTGTGGTCCGGCTTTTAAAACATTGAAAGAAGTGGAATCCAACTTTTTTTCATCTTCTCTCTCCACTTTTCAAAAATATTAAGCTTTAAATTTTTGCTTATAACTTATGGTGGCTTTTCATCCAAAAGTTAAATTGTTTTAAAGCCATTGCAAACACTCGCAGCTTCATTCAATCTGCTCCACTGCGTGTTTTGACTCAATAGGTTACTTTTAAACAGGCCCATGCAGTGTCCGATCACCACGTAGAACATTATTACTGAACCTCGATCGAGTCCTACGTGTCTATCGACTCTCTCTCTCTCTCTCTCTCTATATATATATAATATAAAAGCTGTATGCATGTGCATGTACGTGCAGTGTGAGAGTGTCCAATGAACTGGGAGCAGCGCACCCAAGAACAGCCAAGTTTTCGCTGGTTGTGGCCATAATAACCTCGTTTCTGCTGGGACTTGTGATGTCTCTTGTCCTCATCGTCTTCCGGAAACAGTACCCAGCATTGTTCTCGAGCGACACGCAAGTGCAAGATCTGGTGGTGAAGCTCACACCCATGTTGGCTTTCTGCATCATCATCAACAACATTCAGCCTGTTCTTTCCGGAGTCGCCATTGGGGCAGGATGGCAAACTGCTGTTGCTTACGTTAACATCGCTTGTTATTACCTTTTTGGTGTTCCTCTCGGTCTTGTTTTGGGTTACATTCTCAATCTTGGAGTCCTGGTACGTCTAATCCTACTTGTTTTTCTTTTATATATATATATATATATATATATTAAGTGTGTGTAATTTGTAGGTTGAATTTTTGCCTGATATGTTCTCCGTTAAATCGTTCATATCTCCTTTTTTCCTTTTTGGTTTTCAGGGGATCTGGTCGGGAATGTTGTCAGGGACCATTTTACAGACAATAGTTCTATGCATAATGGTTTATAAAACCAACTGGAACAAAGAGGTAAGTACGTACCTTCCCTTATGGGCGTATGTGTTACGATCTCTTATCAAGAAATAACTCAACACGGAGAAATATAATTAGTGTAGTGCATGATATTCGATTCAAATTACAGCAACTGTAATAATGCTTTTGTGGCATATGTGTGTGTGACACTCTAAAAGGGAAAACTGATAGAAAACTCGTATCATTACATTACCCTCCACATAAACTGATGAAAACTATTGACTATGTATATTTTTGTGGATGGAACTGCAGGCGTCACTTGCAGAAGATAGGATAAAGAAGTGGGGTGGGCACACTGATTCAAAAGCAGGTGAAACTTGAAGGCGCAGAAAATTCCTGCTTTGTGCAGATTTTCTTTTTTTGGGAAAAAAAATTAATTGCTTTCATTTGGAGGACGAGAATACTCAGGAATCAGGATCCTCTAGTAATTATTGGATTCCCAGCATCTTAAAGGAAAATTTTTCTCTCATCAATTTCAAAGAAAATGGGTTCATAATTCGTCTCACTAGCTTATTGTAGAATATGATATATGCATGTCATCGCGTATGCGCTCAGATGAAATGGAAAAAAATTGGATATTACATTGCATCTCTTAATTTAGGAAGAAAATTATATATATAATAATAATACAATTCAATCCAATACAATGATTATAAATGGAAGGAAAATATTACAGACAAAATGGAAGGGCGGAATACAAGATAGGATTCAAATTCCTTATGAAACTTCTTTTATAATTCAGATTACATTTTTTGTATAAGTTGGTTTTAATTTCTCCAGGACTTACGGAACTCTATCTTTTGTGTCCAATACTTTTGTAACATCCTCAATTTTAAATGTTGCTTAAGGGCCTGTTTAGAATGAATCATGTTTATAAACACTTATAAATATGTTGTATGTAAGTCGAGTCAAAATCCTTTATATATTTACTTCGTATCCCATAAATTATTATTGAAAATATATTTATGATAGGCCAAAAGTTGAAAACACGAGAAGTTCAAAGACCAAAACTATAAATAATACTCTTTTGGTCTTTAATATAGGACCTAATTATTGAGTAAATTTTGATTCTAAATATAAGACTTATTTATCATATTTATCATTTTTTTTCTAAATTATTTCTATTGATACTCCTTCAACCATAATTAAGTAAGAAAATGAGAGACGATATTAAGAAAGATGATTATGATGTTTTAGAAAATACATATCATGTTTCTTATAATTAACTAACTTACCTAACTTCTTTAATTTAATAAAACTAGTTAAATCGGTCTTATATTAAGGATAAGAGGAATACTAAATATCGAGTTAAAACTATAAGTATAAAAGAATATTGAAAAATTAAGAAAATTCAAGAAAAATCTAAAATGCCTCAGATTTTAAGGAAATCAAGAAAAAAATTACTAAAATTGTCTAAAGACCCAAAAAAAATTAAGGAAAAATCATAGAGAGCATTAATTTGGGAATTATAAATTTGATGAAGGATTTTATTTTCTAGAAAGAGTTATAAATAATCTTAAAACTAATTTCTGATCATTAACAATATATTTCCGAGAAAATGTTTTAAAAAAAAAGTGGTTAGAGCTTCTCGTTTGGCCCAAAACTTTTAGGTAAATTATTTTATAAAGTAAAGAAGCTAATAAAATCCTTATAAAGTGTCCCAGACTAATTTCTAGAAGAAATTTCAGTATGGATAGAAAGAAGTAAAATGAGAAATTCGCTGCCCCAAACTCAACAATGAAATTGGGCCTGAGTTACCAAAAAGGAATGTGCCTGAAGAGGTCATCAGATGCTTTTTTATGCTTTGGTCCAAGAAAAGTGCAAAGAAATGGGCATATTTTAGGATAGAAACACAACTGCACAAGTAAATAAAAGAGAAAATACAACTTTTAGTTCTTCAAATTTAGACCTATTTAGGTTTTGGTCTCTAAAATTTAAGACCAGAGGTATTGGTCTCTGGAATTTACTTTGTTACAAAACGTTAATCCTTGAGAATCATGTACCGTTATAGTTTGTTTACTTTGTTACAAAACGTTAATCCTTGAGAATCATGTACCGTTATAGTTTGTTGAGGTGGTGTAAACAGTGTCAACTATGATGAACTGGCTTTTGACTTGGCAACATGAGCTGATTAAGTGGCATAGAAATTGAATATTTGACATGGAAAAAAAAAAAAAAAACAAGAAGAAGAAAGAAGTGGATCTAGAAGTTGGTCTTCCTCCGTCCGGCGTAGAACTTGGCTTTTTTCATCGGTCTACAGGAACTTAACAACACCGATAGCAAAAATGAACAACCTCATGACCAAATCCTTAATGAGCTATATGGATCTAAAGAAAGCCGCAATGAAAGACAAAGTGGATCTGGAAGCTGGTTTCCTCCGTTCGGCGTAGAACTTAGCTCCTCAACAAATCACTTGGATACCGACATGGGTCACTTCCTGGAAGAGGCCGAGAAGGTGAAAATGAAGATGGTGAATCTCCGTGACATTCTGGGCAAACTTCAGCAAGCAAACGAAGAAAGTAAATCCTTGCACAAGCCTGAGGCTCTAAAATCCTTAAGGATCAGAATCAATGCTGATATCGTCTCTGTGCTTAAGAAGGCCAGAACAAGCTGGTCTCAATTGGAAGAAATGGACCGAGCTAATGCTGCCAATAGGAGACTCTCTGGCCTTAAAGACGGCACGCCTGCCATTTACAAAACCAGAGTTTCAGTCCCCAACGGCCTTCGCAAGAAACTGAAGGATCTAATGATGGAGTTTCAGGAGCTGAGGCAGATGATGATGATTGAATACAAAGAGACGGTGGGAAGACACTATTTTACTGTAAGAGGGGAACACCCAGATGAAGAAATAATTGAGAAGATCATATCCAGTGGGGAAGAAGAGCTTCTAAGCAAAGCTATTCAAGAGCACAGGAGAGGGAAAGTTCTAGAGACAGTGGCGGAGATACGGGACAAGCACGAAGCTGCTAAAGAGATCAAGAAGAGTCTACTGGAGCTGCACCAGGTATTTCTGGACATGGCGGTGATGGTTGAAGCTCAGGGCGAGAAGATGGACGACATTGAGCACCATGTGCTTCATGCTTCTCACTATGTCAAGGATGGGAACAAAAATTTGCAGACTGCGAAGAAATACCAGATGGACGACAGGCGCCTTCTTTCCTTTTTTTTGTTTTAAATTTTTCACATAAGATGTCCAGCTCCCATGTCACTTAATCAACTTATGTTGTCAAGTTAGAAGCCAAATCATCATACCTAACACTGTTTGTACCACCTCAGCAAACTGTAATAACACATGACTCTTCGGAACTAATGTTTTGTAACGGAGTAAATTCCAGAGACCAATACCTCAGGGCTTCAATTTCAGGGACCAAAACCTAAATGGGTCTAAATTTGAGAGACCAAAAGTTGTATTTTTCCTAGATAAAATAACAAGATGGGACCACAAGTAAATAAAACAACATGTGCTACCGTGATTCTTAGGTGGTACGTATGAAAAAAATACTATTAGGAGGGATTTCCACTACTTGACAGTATTCCGAGAGATTAGTTACTTACCATTCGAGTGGAAGGATACTCTAGGCAACCAAAAAAATAAAAAAATAAAACAACATTTGCTACCTCAAATAAAATTGACTTCAACAGAAAGATGCTTATGTCTAGCAAAAAAAAAAAAACAAATTAATATCATCTTTGATTCTTCAAATTTATATGAACTTTGGTTTTAGTTTCTTAAGTTTTAAACCATATGTTTTAATCCCTCAAAAAATAAAATGATTTAGGTTTTTATTAAATTATAGAAATCAATATTTTAAAAGAAAAGAGCTGCTTAACTAATTTAAGTAGATTAAAAAAATATTTAAATAAGTTATTTATAATAAATACTCCTATGGTCCTTAATATATGACCCAATTGTTAAGTTAGTTTTGGTCCTAAATATAAGACCCATTTCTCATATTTATCAATTCTCTCTAAATCACCCCTATGGATACTCCCTCAACCATAATCAAGTAGAAAATGAAGAGAGGGTAGTAAGAACGATGATTATGGTGTTTTAGGAAAAATGTGTCACATTTCTTATAATTAACTAATTTATTTAACTTTCTTAATTTAATCAAATTAGTTAAATTAGTTTTATATTAAGGATCGGAGTATGATTAAGTACTTGTAGTTAATTAGAGTACTAATACTAGAAAAATATATATAACTTCAATTACTTCGGAAATTATAAAATCTTTGGTGGAAGAAGTCAAAATGATAAATTATCATCTCCGCTTAGTTCTGATTTTTTTAATTTCTTTTAAGAATACCAATTAGGTTATTCTTCTATCCGTATCCAATAGAACATGCTGAGCAGTGAAAACCTTTGGAGTACTCTAATGCTTAAAAAAAAAAATAATATTAGAGGAGCCGTGCTATATAGTTAAGCCCGTGTAGTTAATTGGAGTACTAGGCAGGGTCGTTGAACTAGACGTCTCAACGACCACAAATAATGTTGAAGAGAGAATTAATGTAGTCTTGTCGCATGACTTGCGGGACGGTGATCCGCATCAACTGAATATCTGGTTTGATTATTACTCCCTCCATTTTTCATTATAAGATATTTTTTTAATAGATTTGTCTCTTTTTATAAGATTTTTTTTTGAATTTGTCTGAACATTTAATGCATTGTTACTTATTTTATCCCTAATAAATTTCATATATTGCATTCTCTCTCCATACATTCTATCTCTATTTATCTTATTATTACTCTCTTACATTTATTAGGGGTATATTTGGAAAAAATATATTTATTACATATTAATTATTTTTAACTAATTTTAAATGTTTTCTTAAAAAACACAATTTGACCAAAATGTTTTTATAATTAGGGATGGAGTAGTATTAACTATACGTAAAATAAGAATTTTTTTTGCTAGCTAAAATAAGAATTAGTTTAATATTTAATTTAGTTCTAAATATAATATTTTAGTTTATTTTATTTTTCATATTTATTTATTTATTTTTATAATAATTTTTGTAGTAGTTATACATATTCATGTTTTATCAAATGATATTCTAGCAAATACATGTGATTAACAAGGATATTTAAGGAAAGACAATATTTATTTATTATTTATAAGTAACTTAACTAATTTTTTTAATCTACTTAAATTAATCAATTAACTCTTAGAAAAAGCTTTCATTACGAATTTTTATTGATGAGAAGAACATGATAAATTTATTTTACATATAAAAAAGTAACGGTGCTTTACAAATTTTATATACAGAGTAATTTTTAATGAGATATTTTTCTATAATTTTTTCCTAGTTAATTATTATTTAAATATTTTTTAAGGAAATTATAAAATCTTAATTCATTTTATCTCTGATGTTTATTAATTCTTTAAATTAATTTATCTAACTCATAAATTAATACATAATCTGATATTATATATAAAAATATTTTAGAAAAATCATCTCAATTTTTTTAGAATGAAACAACTTATTAAAAATTTTTTAATCTTT